ATTGAGATTCTTCATACCGGAGCCGTTTTGTGAGGGACCATTTTGTTCGCGATGCATTTTTCACGCACACGTGGTGTCCATGCCAGTGCATTGGTTTCAGCTCAGCCCCATATGGCTATATTAATCTTATCTTGCTCTTAAAAGGTGCAAAGATTCAAAAGAAATACATAAATTACTTCTGCTGGATGCCCTGGAACGTAAAGGGCTGTTTATACTCCGACGTTGAGCAGCGTAGCACAAAACGCGCGCCTTTCATTGGCCGGAAACCAGAAACTCGATATCCGCGACCTATCAGTATCTCTGCGCGCTGCGCTACGCCACGCCCGTCGACGTTACGTTGGAGTATAAACGTACGTTAAGTCTAATAAAAAATTTATCTTTCAGGAAAAGGCTTTTCCGATATTTTTTTCTATACTTGATTCTAATTGTTGTGAACCATACAACTGTCAAAGCATATAACCAGTAGCATTAAAATTAAAATGCAATAACGAGCGCTAACAAGGAAAAATAAAAAGACTGATTAGGAAACATTTATTTTATATAACCAGCGCACTAACATTTTTCCTTCTTAAACTCATTCGCTATTTGTTCTTTTGTTTTTGTTTGTTTTTTCTAATTGCCTGACTGCGTTGGCATGCAAACGATTATAAGTAGTGAAATCAAACTTATTACAACCACATCTCTTGAACTACAAATTGCAAGTTAATGAAGGCAACATGGGTTATTTATGGTAATCAAATTTTAAGTCCACGAAAAAATTTCGCCGTACATTTTTTATAACGCCTTGATTTGTTTTCAAGTTAGAAATCCGTGCCATTACGTATGCTTCCAAAAAGAACGTTTTAAGGAACGACAAACAAAAGCATTAAGTTACAACTTGCAACAGGCACATTCCACTGAAAACGTGCAGCGCTTGATTTCCGTCCGCCAATTTACCTGAGAACAATGGATTCCAGCGAGGAAAAAAGCTTGGTAAAGTAGGCAATCATCTGGCAGCTCGCGGTAAAAAATGCATTTTATTGCAGATGAAGTAAGGCTCCCAGAGATATTCTTATCATTATAGCGGTCATTCTCCACGTTGATATCAGCAGCGCGAAGTAACATTGTGCAATCGTCCGCTGGCTTGATGAAGGGTATACATATATACAAAACATAACGATAGCGTTATCAACCGATTCCCCTCTAGTCTGCCCAATACCTCAGTGAATGAAGGGCAAGGCTCCCGGCGCGACAAATAAACAGCAAAAGTAGCACGCACAAACACGTCGTTTTATCCGCTAAGGGGTTAAACTGAAATGTCAAGGCCGACGACTCAATGTAGCAGGTTTAACAAATTTTACTTTTGAGACAGGTGTGTTTTTTTAGTTATTATTAAAACATTATGGTGGCGTCTACCCCTTTTTCACTCCCTTTATTCAATGTTTTAAAAATTTTGTTATTTTTATATTTTCAAGTGAAACCCTCGTTTCCAATGGTTCGCATGAGCCATTCCACGAACATGACAGGCACTAACCACATGAGATCGAACAGACGATTTCAATCGTGCCTTATTTTACAGGCAGGTTTGTTCGAATAGTTTTGCACCACATATTATATGACCATTTAAGAGCCCAAGCTCATAAATTGTGTATAGTGGCTGTAGATATTCTTAAAAAAACTGTGTTAACTGTTCTGTCCCATGTCTGTAGCTTTTTGGCTTTTTCCCGTTGACTTTCTATGGAACTATGAATCCTGAACATTAATTTTAGGTTTTTTACAATGTATCCATGGAAATATGCACTCGCCACTTGCCTTGTGCACACGCGCCGACATCGCAAATACACAAGCCGCGAATCTCTGATGACAATAATAATTCAGTAGACATAATATAAACAACGCGACTGACAAGGACGAAGAAAGACTGTACGACACGAGCGCTGACTGGCAAAAGACGGTTTTATTGTCATGAAACACACAAGAAACAAACATAAAAATGACCCTCCAATCAAGACGAAATCGCGACCGCGCATACAAATGGGTTTTGGCTTCTTCACAACATTTTGTCCAATAATTGACGCTGTGCCACACCCATCACCCCTAACTAAAAATTCTGCCTCGCTGTCTAACAGCGCCAAGGATGCTTGACTCACGCAGGTTGGGCCAGCTTTTTTTATATTGAGTGCCTCGACAATCTCCCGTGCCTTTTGGTCTTTGTGTCAACAGCATGACGACCTTCTCCAGTATCGGGTGGCGGGAGCAGTCCCTGCAATACAATGCCGAGCAGAAGCACGCTGTCCCAAAGAGCTACGATTTTCACGCAGGCGAACGTTAAGCCACCGCCCTATCTGCCCGATGTAAACCTTCCCACATCTGTTAAGTTACCCCCTTAGTGCAAGACATAAAATCAACGTGGTGCCAAACGCCACTGCCACCCTTCTCCGGTTTCTCCACTACTCTCACGCGCTTTTCCACTGCGGAGCAAATCCCACCCAACTTGTTTCGTGTCGAGAACACCACGTCCACCCCATACTTTAAGGTGGCCCTTTTGAACCCGTGCGGCACGCGATGCAGTGGAAAAGTGCGTGAGAAAAAAAAAATAAACCGGAGAAGGGCGGTTATGGCGTAAGGCACCGCGTTGATTAAGTGTTTTGCACCAACGGGGTAGTTTACCAGATACCTTTCTCTTGTGGAAAGTTTTACATCGGGCAGACTGACGTTCGCCTGCGTGAGCATCGTATCTCTTTGGCAGGGACAGCGTGCTCCCACCTGGCATTGCATTCCAGGGACTTCTCCTTCCACCCGATGCTGGAGGAGGCCGTTGTGTTGTTTAGACACAAAGACCAAAAGGCACGGAAGATTGTCGAGACACTCAATATAAGAAAGGCAGGCCCTACCTGCCTGAATCAAGCGTCTTTGGCGCTGTTAGAGAGCGAGGCAGAATTTTTAGATAGGGGTGATGGGTGTGCACTGCGTCAAGGATTATACAAAGTGTTTTGACGGCGCCAAAAGCCGTTGTGATGCACGGTCGTGATTGCCTTTTGATCGGAGAGTCATTTTCGTCTTTGTTTCTCCTTGCTTTTATGAAAATAAAACTGTCAGTTGTCAGTCTGCGCTTGTATCGTCCAGACTTTCTTCGTCCTTGTCAGTCGCGTTGTTTATATTATGAATACATACCAACTAGCCCAACTATCCGTTCTGCTAAAACTGAGTAGTGTTGACTGCTCCACGGCAATAGGTACCCTGCGCTTAAAAACAACCATTTGAGAGTAGACCAGCCGAGAAGATTAAAAGACTACAAGTGTGTTGGTTTGTCTTGCCAAGACTTTGTACGAAATGTAGTTTCTAAGGGTTCTTGAACTGTATCTCCGATTATAAAGCAATGCAAGAAACTATAATTATTCGACACATTCGAAAAAAGTACCCTTCGAAAGGAGCTTCTAACTGGGTTTGATGTCGCTGCTCCGGACTGCATCTATCATTCTATTAAATCTTGTCTATAAATTTTCTGCAGAAAGATAGTGACATAGAGCATGTTGAGCAGTGGCGATAGAAATTATATAGCTTTTCATCGTCTGTAGTTTATAGACCTCGATAGAAAATGCATTGAAGTTGTTGATACGACGTGACTGAATAGAAAGTTGACACTCGTTAAAAAGAGGATAAGCTTTTTTTATAGTGCCTTCACTTTTATTAGGGTTTTACCCAAACGTATTTTGAAAACAAAATTTTCAGAAATGTGTATTCAGAAGTGAAATGTTATGTTCAATATAATTCAAAGTACTGGTTACGTGAAGACATTCACTTCTTCAAAGTTTTTTTCTTAAAGTTTTGATGCTCTTCAAAGCGTAAGATTTTTTAAAAATATAAGTTCAATTTTTTTTCATCACCAGGAACCTCTACTAACAAATTGCTTTTATCGTTCTCCTTCTTGGTGAACATTTGAAGAAGAAATGAGCACAGTATTTCACAAATATAATTTCAGTGAGATAGTACGCAATGTTAACGGGGTGCTTGGCTTGCTGATTTTCAGAAATACTCAAATGACAGCTACGTTTTCCAAACTTTATTTAAAGCAGACATCTCAAAAGTTTATTTAAAGCAGACACATTTACTATACTCGTAGACACCTTTCTGCGACTATGCAGTTGAGGTCACAGGCGCAGGGAAGTCGAGTAACTTGGACGCCACTTAATGCGGTACATCAGCGCTCTTCACTTCACCTTAAATACCACAGAAAGTTGTCCATAAGTGTAAATAGCCTCACGGATCATCAAACAGGATATAAGTTGAAAGATGGGTTCCACTGATCGTCCTGAATCGGTTTTCTAATTTGTGAAAGCTCGCAGCAAGCTTGATTCGTAGTGTTCGCTAAGCGGATAAGTGTGTGAACACTGTGAGTTGAGCACCATAATATCAAACGTACGCGTCTGCTAATAGCAGATGACCCGTCCCAAACGTTTTACATCTCTCAGCTAGTAGCTATTGCAAATGTCCGCATCTCTAAGCAGTATTGATCATCAAGAGCCTCCAGAAATCTTACATGTGAATATGCCTCAATCGAGAATGCATTAATTTTCATGGCAGCAAATAACTTTGAGCTTCTCACAGTCTTGTTCAATATTTTATTTTGCAGGCTACCTATTCCTACCCCTTCTTTTTTTTTTATTTGGCCCGCTCCGTATTTGTTTAGCGCTAAATCGGCCACTTGTAGGAAAGGTTTGTCGACCCCAGACCTTGAGCTATTGCGTTTAGAAGAATGACGCAAAAACCTCGATACTGGGGACACCTAGCAGCGTATTACGTGACTAAAAAGCAAATGCACCGCAAATTTAAAATTTCTAATACTTCGGCGTACCTCAATTTCTTTCTTTTTTGCTTTAGGCAGTTTTTGTGTTGTATAGGAACATGGTCCTAGCCACATACAAGTGTTATGATTCAGAGGCACTTTTTCGCCAACGAATGAATATTGGTATTTAACTAAAAGCAAACAATGTTATCCCGAAATACGAATCCACCGGAATGTTATCATGGAAGCCCAATATCAATCCACAAATTCATAACGTCGCTTCCTTTTGTCTTAGACGCGATTCGCTCCTTCATCCGTCTAATCTGTTCAGCCGAGAAGAGGTTTTTGTAGTCCCCAATTACACCCTTGCGAAGAAGTTCATGCTTGAGCTCCAACTTCGGTCTTCCACCAAACCTTTGACTGTAAACTTGCAAAGACTTAAACTGTCTCTCAGGGGGAAGTGAGAAAAGATCATGCATCAGGGTTTTCACGCCGTCATTGACTGTTTTGTTCAGGCTTTCAAAGCTGGTGGCTTTCACGACTTTGTCGAGGAGCGCGTTGTCATGTCTCAGCTTTTGACCGTACTCCTCACCAAGGAAGTCAGCGATCTTTAGCACCCAAGCCTTTATGTCCTTTTGTAAGTCTTCGTACCTAAAGAACAAAACATTTGAATTGTTTCGGTGCTTGTAGAGAGACAGCAAGTGGTCAAAATAGTCTCCGTAACGAACTTGCCCACTCAGAAACAAATCTAAAAATGTATCAAACGGTGCGTCTTCAAGCCCATTGTTAGGGATGCCTCTAGAGTGGTGATAGAAGGAGACGGAGACGTCATACGGGTTTCTAACCACAAATATGTACTTCGCGTTCTCAGAGTAAGGAAGCTTATGGAGGGGAAGATGGCACTTGATGGTGCCTGGGCGGACCATTTTTTCTGCAGCCTCGGAGCCCAAGAACTCAAGCCAAGGTGACCTTAGAAAGAATTCTGTGAAGTCCTTAGGAAGGACACCGTCATACAAGATGCAATGGACAATGTACTGCGTCCATGTTGTTCCACATTTAGGGTACGTGACAATAAAGATGTCGTCGGACCGGGGCTTGTAAGACATAGCGGATTGTACGGTGTTCTCGTCCAGGAAGATGCTCATGTAGAAGCCATCGAGGTTCTTGAAAAGAGAACTGACATTCACATTTGGTGCAGCTGACATCTGTTCCAGAGGTTTCTCCTGTAATTATAGATATAACAATAGTTGCACTCTGTGCCGATTGCACCCTAGCCATCTAATCTTGAAATAATATCAACACTCCCCCCCCCCGTCAGCTCAATATTTTGGGGGAAATGTATGACAAGAAAATGAAAGATCAAATATGGAATCCTTAGTTCCAAACTTTTTATAATGCGAAAGATAACACCAACATTATTCCTGTATTGGATAGTGAAAGCTTAGTTGGGACAAAATATTTTTCACTGACAAAACAAACCCCAAGCACTATTTACACAGGTGCAGTTTGATTAGCATAATTTACATAATATCATTATTGTCCACTACATTGAAAATGTTGAAGAAATAAAATATTAATTTCGGTCATTAATATTGCTAAGCCAGGTTTTGGCTGAACACTATTAAATGTCCGCGGCGCAACGCGGCATTGAACATCGCCGTAATTAGGAAAATAAATCTCATAAAAACTCTCCATGCCATTTTTAAAGACTTATATATGAACATTTCTCACCTGCGATGTTGAACCCTTAAAAAATATCAGATTCCAAAAAGGGCCCAGAAGAAGTCTGTGTAAAATACTCTTTTTCAAAGTAAATGCTTGAAAAAAAATGTTATTTATCGGGTCGCTGTTGAGACGAGATGATCACTAACTTTGAGCTCAATAACACAACTTTGAAGGACATTATAGCAACACCTTTGTCTTACAGCGTTCTATTTATTTGATTAAAAACTTGTTACCCTTCAAAATATGTAGAACCATAATTTGGTATCATATATCATTAGTATATATTTGCACAATCAAACCACAAAATTTGAATAGTTCAGAAAAGCACAGACTAGCCTCAGCTAGCTGACCATCCCTCTGACTGTCAGTAAAGCTCCAAATCTTTACAGAAAAAAAGAATAAATTATGTTATGCATACGCCTCTCACACGCTTTGGCAACCCCACGAATATAAAAATTTACGGTCACCGAATCTCGACATTCTAAAAAATGAAGAACTACCGGTTTATGTTATCACAAAAGAAAAGCACCTGAACAAAAATAATTGTGAACGACGAGCATCAAATTATGCAAGTAATGGATCATTGCCTTTATCAATAAATCTTAAATTACCATAAGGATTTATATAGATAATTTCGGTTTCATATTTAATTAGCTTAAGCGATTTCTTTGGTATAAACTCCAATACCAGACAAAAACACATTCCGAATGGTGTATCTGCGCAGTGTAGAAACAGTTAGTGAAGGCTCTGGAAACATATTTCCAATCTCGATGGGGTATGTAACGTTGGTGGCATGCTTCCCTAACCTATATTGCATAGGTAAACGCCTCGATTTTCATTACACGTCTGCTGTTGTAGAAACCGTCGAAGGCATTTCGAGTACGCAAGTCTTGCAAATTTCCCTGAAAATGATCGAGCATGCCAAGTTTCCGTTTCTGACGGACAGATATTTTATTATAGTTCGTTACAGTTTTGGTACACTATACTAATGCACTGTAAGGTATTTTTTAGTAACATTAAGAATAATAGAATACCTTTTTTACCCATAAAGAAAGTAGTTTATGAATTCTATGCATATATCCTTTTGATTTAGATAGTTTAGAAAAACAAAATTTGTATATGCTTCGACCCTTTGAAGTTCTTAATAAACCATACACCTAAGAATTTTTGTTCTTTGACTTGTCTTAAAGGCATTCCATCAAAATAATAAGTGTTGAAGTTTTATCTTGCTTGTTAATCGGATGGTATATTATGAAAGGTATTTCGTTTTGTCAGCATTAAGTTGTAATGTTTTACACTTAAGCCAGTTTGCCAGCTTTTCAAGGATTCGTTGGCCATTATGTGTAATGTATCTTAAGATTGTACTATCAAGGACGCATTCGTGTCGTTTGTGTACATGATTAGTTCCGGGGAATCCTGCATGTTTCTCATATCAATTACAAAAATAATAAATTGCAAAGGGCCTAGAATGGATCCCTACGGCACTACATGTCGTACATCTAACTTTCAGAGGTTTCTTCATTTACATGCACATATTGAAATCGATTCATTAAATAACTTTCAACTACTTTTATTGCCAGGCCACGTATTTCCCAATATAGAAGTTTAATTCATACGATATGCTCTACTGTCTCAGAAGTCTTTGTAAAGTCTAAAAACAAGCGTCATGTATAAAATGTATCTTCAATAATTTTTTTTTATAATTTTAACTTTTATTTAGGGTAAGCCTCGCTCTGTAGATCTATGTTTTTGAAATCCATGTTGTGCCTCGTTCATAATATTCTACGTACAAAACAAATGCATCTAATCTAGTATGAATTACATTTACAAATATGTTTTAAACATTTGGCAGAATCGAAATCGGTCGATATAGTTATAAAATTATTTTTCCCCGCATTCAATTATTGAGCTAACTCAAGATACTTTTAACTTGTTTGGAAAGGTTCCTGTGTGTAGCATAATATTTGTTTGATATGACAGAATGAGACAGTGTTTTTGAGAAGTTTTTCACTGGAACATATTTAAAACAGTCAATACCGTTCCCAACATTGTTTTTAAATGTTTTAATCAGTATATCAATTTCAATCGGCGTAGTTGGTTTGAAGGGAAGCTCCGGTCAATATTTTTGAATTTGTGATTACAACTGTTTTCAGCTAAAGCTGTGTCCCCCAATTACAAGATACACTATTTTGTTTGAATATTGTGTGTAGTTTTAGTAATATCACGGCTCAAAGTTTGGTTTTTTGGTGTCTACGGTAAGACCTACTATCTGCTAGAGAGATCGCAGTACTGATCATCAGCCGTACGGCCGCGACTTGACGACACAAGGGTGCCGCGCCAGTGTTACTTGACTAAAAGACAACTCGCTTGCCGCCCGCTAAAGAGCAGCTGGTCGCGTCTTTGAAATCAGTTTTAGTGGAGTGCGCGGCTTCCCTTCGGCCTAATATTTCGGCTGTGATCATATTTCGTGCCACTCAATCGATACGAGTTATTTACTTTGCTTTCGTTTTTGATTAGACTTGCTTTTAAAGATTATAGAATAAATCAAAGTCTTCGTTTTTTTCGATGACGAAATCGCCAGGAGTATTCTCTTCTTTATGCATTAACCCACACTAACAAAATGTGCGTTCATAATATTTGCAAGACGTTTCCCGAATATATATATATTTTTTTTGTATTATCGATAATACTTTTATCGATACATACTGCTTTCTATTTGTTCTATCATTCACTGCGTTCCATATCTTCCTCGGCTCGTTTTTTATATTGTTGAACACACTCTGATAATACTCACGCTTTGCTTTATTTATTTATTTTTTTATTTTTATTTATTTTTATTTTTTATTACGCGCGTCGCCGAGCGAGCGCGTGTGTGGCCGAGTGGTTACGGTGCTTGGCTTTCGTGCGGAGGCCTCTGGTTCTGTTCCTCGGAGCGGCGCGTCTTTTATTTATTCTTTCAATTTAGCGTTCTCGTAAGTTCCAGAACCTTGTCGTCTGTTCAAAGTGGGAATGTTCAACGCGACGAATCTTCTACGCCGATTGTTCCAGGAGCCCACGGGTGTACGAAAGGAGCTCCAGGTGGCGAGCCGGAGTCAGTCTCGCCCCAGCGTTCGATTCTGATGTTTTGCGCCATCGAAGCCTGCGACAATAACCTTATTTTATTTTGTTTTGGGCACAATTTCACCCTATTAAACGTTTAGCTTGCTTCAGTCTTCGTCGCCTCATCAATTGTCATTCGTGACGATATCGGCTCTTAATGCGTTTCTTTCTTTTTTTTAAATCGACTCAGAAGTGGCTGGTCTCGTCTTTTCAGTAGTCCTGGTACATGTTGTCGTTTCATTTATTGTTTTACAAAGACATTCCTTTATCCATGGCCTCGTAACTTTCAGCTTTTTATTTTTAGATCGTATGAGGGGGTGTGCATTATCACATTATAGTTTAAAGATCTTTGAGAAGTGATTAAATGCCATATCGGGAAGTGGGAAGTGGATAGAGTTTGCTCATTTATTTTACGGTAATAAACTTAATTCTCTTTGCTTACTTTTTGTTTAAACAAGTAAGTTAAAATGCTTGCGTAAACGTTATTACATCAAGACGTAGACATAGCGAGTCAAGAAAGGTTTCAAGATCATCTGATTGATTTTCATAGTTCAAAAAATTTGAAAAATTATGCAAAAAAACAGGTCTTTCAAGTTTAGGTAGCTCATATTTAATTTTTTCCAAGGTCATCGACATGCTTGATTCGAATAGTCGCTTCGTTGTCTGGTTTCCTGACGTATGAGCATCCTTCTTTGTGTCACACAAACGTGTAGCCAAGGTACCTGGCCTTCATCCTGACATCGTAAAAAAGCTTCCTGTTTGACGAAATCATGTTCTCTTTCAGATACAGATTGTCTAGACTTGCTCCGCTCCTTAACTTCTGCTTGTTCTGAGGCCACGCAATTCGCTCATTCCGGTTAACAAAACGCTTGACTAGCGTGGGTATTTTTTTTTTTTGCTTCAGTTGGGTTACGATGACCAGACTCTACGTTACTCTTGGTCAACCTTGGCACTTCCCCTTGATTAGAGATCTTGTTTTTATTTAGTGATTCAGTGAGTCCATGTACTTCGAGATCAATTATTCGTCCAGACTTCTCAAACCTATTTAGTTATTACTTGATCTGGAGAGTTTCATCAGTCTTTCGATTTTGCTTGATTTCGTTTACTCTATTTTTTCATTTTTTTTGATATCGCTGTCATGTTTTTCTTTTTTCTCAGTGCTTCATCGTAGCTATCCGACATTGACTGTACCGATTTTTAAAAGTGCATCACGGTTTTTTTATTTTCTAACAGCTCGCCAACTTGCTGCTTTGGTGGTGCAAGTACTGCCCACATCCACATTATTTAACTTTGCTGTTATTACACGTCTCACGGCTGTTCGAGCGACTGCTTATTGCCCTGGGAGCTCCTAGTTATTGATTTTGCTCCCTGGCAAGTCCGACATTTCCAGGTTTCTTTGAACCCCGTTTTTTATAGCTCGGAAAGCGATTTCTATCACACCCGCACAAGTGCCAACGTTATAACTAAACGGGCATTCGTTACACTTGAAGAAAATAGCGAGTCTTTGAATAACGTACGCTATTTTAGCGCACGCTATTGCTAAATTCAGCGCTTGTGTTAGCGCACACTACGCAAGAGTGTTTTAAAATAACGTTTCTCTGCCGCGACGCAAGAGCCCCAGTATCTCGCGGTTGCAACGCCACCAAAATACAGTCACAATTTTTATTTCAAAACATCCAATGCTGTAACATGGGAAAAAACAAGTTTTGGTACAGAGTAACATTTTAGATTAGTTTAAACACGAGAATGCGACGCGAGCGGTCGATCGGTTGATCGGTCGTGTCCGCTTACATCGCCTCAAGAGAGGTCTTGTGTACTGAACATCGCGCACCGTATACCTTCGCCGAGAAATATTCCCGTGTCGCAAGCAAAGTTGCCGCTGATCGTTCCCCACCTTATTGCGTTTTCCCAACCGAGTGTAATGTTGTCCTGTATTTACAATTGCAGTCGCGAGGATGCCGCCGGCATCGTGCTCACGTCGACGCCAAGGCAGCCGCAGCTATGGTCCTGGGAGCCGCCATTTTTGAACTGTGCTTGTTTAGGCTTTAGCCAACTTCTCATCACGAATCCAACTTGGAGGAGCGCAAAAGCTCCTTGCGCACGCACGCAATTTCCCAACATGGAGGAGCGCAAAAGCTCCTTGCGCCCGCACGCAATTTCCAAAAAAATAGCATACGGTAAAATAGCGCACGCAAAGCGCAAAACGTAGTTAGCGTTCGGCGCAAGCTCAGTGGGGACGACGCTTTTCAATGCGTACGGAAAACTTTAGCGTGCTCTATTCTAAAGCTCTCTGATGTTCCCATCATCGATTTCCGTCTTACAGTGTAGACAAAAATCGCTTTGTGCATGGCACTGAACACTCAGAGGCAGCAGTCAGCGATCGGGATTTTTGTGATTAAGAATAATAAAAGATGGTACTGGCTCCTACCTGCAAAGTCAGATGATTAGAGTACTGCCGACAGCCCTGGTCGCTGACTCCTCCCGTCGACGCTGCAGTGGTTTTTTTATAACCCCTGTCGACTTGGTGTTCTCTTAGCCGCTGTTGTCTCGGATTCCGTTGTCGCCACTGCTGCCGCTGTAATTTCCTTGGGCCTGTTGGCTTGTTCTTCTGGCTGACCGAAATGGACGTCAGCTGGCCCGTGTCGCTGACGCGCAGCTTTTCGGCGGTGGAAGGTAGAAGCTGCATAAACAGAAGATTAATGTACTGCTGATAGCCTGTCGCTCAGGAGATAGCTTCCTTTTTTTTTATAGCCTCTGTCGCCTTGGTTCCGCCTCAGCCCTGTCGCTTGGGGATAGATTCCTTTTTTTCACAACACCAGCACCAAGAAGAAGGAACGAACGCGACTGATTGGTTCCCCACCCCAACCCGGACAGCTATTTTTGGCGATGACTAAGAGGAACCCTATGTGGATAATTTGTGGAGTGGGGAGAACAGCTGTCATTGTTCACAAAATTGCGTCGAGGGCCGTTCGACTTTCTTTCCTTCGGTCTTCGTAAACGTCTAGCAGAAACGCAGAAACGGCAGGCACTTATAAGCCCTATTTCTCACAGTGCAAGATAAGTAAAAAAGATAGGCAGTATGCGCAACAAAAATAAAGTGCAAACTTTCAAGACAAGCCGGAATACTTAGAATGCAAAACCGCAAAGCATAGGTGGAGAATGGCGCTTAGCAGGTTTCAAGAGACCAAGAGAGTGGCGAAAATTGCCAAGCTGATGGGAGCGCGAGAGTCACACTTACTGCGTCATCATACGCAACAAGGTGTCACTCTAGAAGCATTTTTTTAAGGTGTATAGTAACTTTCAGATTTAAAAAAGCCAAGGCATGGCAAGCCTTGTGCTTATTATTATCACTCCGTTGCACACGAGAATGCGACATTGGCCGAGGAGAACGTCAAAGAACGATTGCAAAGGAACAAGGCTGAATATAATGAATAACGCATTCCCTGCGTTTCTTAAGCGGAAGCAGAAGGGGTTCTTCAAAGGAAACGGGTTAGAGGTGAATTTTAGCGTATTTTCGTCCTGTGAATTGGAATGTCGCAAGCATCTGACCCAAACGCATTATTAGACGCGAGAGAAAACAAGAAAAACAAATTACTGTTTCTGTCGTAAAGTCACACCCAGAGGTTTCAGAGCTCTCTCGCGCGTGCCGCGTGTGAGGGAACACGTGCGCCGCTTTTGGCCGCTCAGGTAGGCTTGCGGAAAGCATCGAAATGTTGGGATTTAGGTACGACACGTCATGATTCCTTTTTTGCACGGGCTTCAGCGCTATATTGGGGCAACTTAATTGGCGGGTCAATAAAAAATATAATTTTGATGTTCGTAATCCTGGAGGCCAAATAAAGACGATTTAAATGTTCTTTTTTCTTCTCAAATTTAGTTCCGCTTCAGTGTTTCTTTAAGCTGAGAGTTAATATAGAATATTTAGTTATAGTATAAATTACGAGGTTCGCTGATTCATTTAATAGCACAAGGTAAAAGACATCTACCGGGTGATTGTTCATTTGTTAAGGCAGCCTATTCTGCCTTAACAATTAGAATTATTAGGTTCCGATAGTAGACATGAATCTTTGCAAACAAGGGAAGGCTTGTTGATTGCTTTTATAATCGCACGCCCCTGAAAAACTGGTTACATCCGTTGGCAAATCCTAGAGTCGTCACAAATATTTTGTTACACTTTCCACACAAGGTACTATCAATTATTTAAAAAAAAAACGAGTCTCCTTATGCAATATCGATCGCAAACCGGTCCTATTAAATAAAACAAAAAATGACTTCAAAACTCGACAGCTCGCAAGGAGAGGCTTTGAACAGTTTAAAAAAATCTGAAGTTTAACAATCGCATAATACTTACTTGAGAACCAGGACTCGGTAGCGAGAAAGCATTGAAATGTGTTCAATCTTTATTCTCGTAGTAAATATTGCAGTTTTTTTTCCTACGACATATTAGGTTAAGTCGGGGTCATTGTCTACCAGCCTTACGTGCAATCCCCGTTAACAGCAGGAGCGTAATAAAACGTTATAGAGCTACGCGCTATCTCTTGAAATAGGTCGTCTATGGCGATTTTAGTTGCTGTGCGCTTGGTCCTTGAATAATTCCAAATACGGCAAACTTGACAGATGCTTGCGTGAGTGAGAAACAATAAAAAATAAAGATGTTTCATTTGTATTTTTTATTGTTATCATACCAGTGTATTGAGCATCCGTCTGCACTTGTTACCTTGTTTACGATGCCGAAACCCCAAAAATACGTGTTTCTGTTTCCACAAAATCAAACAAATTTATTGTTGCAAAATCAGAATAAAGGACTCAAGTCTAATGTTCTTCAGTTTAGAAACAGCGGTATTCTGGAAGTATCAACCATACAATCTGTTCCCCGATTTCGTCTGTTTTCAGTGTATTTCATTTTCTTTTTGAACGACCAGGTTCTTTTTTTAATTCTTAGTAAAATTTACTTTTGCATTTGCTTCTGGTCAGTCATTTTTCAAGCTGGCCGATAAGGTTGACTCTGTGTAATCATGTATGTGAGTTGGTTAACCGCTTCGCTTTTAAAGAACGGGGGCGCGGAGGGGTAGTGGGGCGACCGCTAATCCTTCGTGACGTATTGTGACGTAGGGTTATATGCAAACAGAGAGTGCATTGATCACCACTTTGGAAGCGCGAGTAGGCAACTGACAGAGAGACTAAAATGTACATCGCGCGGCACTGTTAAGAAGTTAAATATTGCAATTTTGTTTTTTATCAAAAGGCTGCCTTGAAAATTTCTAGTGTAGTGAAAGGTGCTCATTTGAAGCACTAACTTCCGCGATAAAATTTGAGGCTCGTTCATTCAACAGTTGCGTCAAACAAGAAAAAGCTTCAGTGTCGTGTTCGCGCTCACAGTGTATCGCAGTGTTCGCTAGATAGTATTAGTGATGGTGATTATTAGCCTTGACTAAGTTCTAAACTGTGCAAAGCATGAAGTGCATCTCGCTTGTGAGCCGCTCGTACTAGCTGTTTAATAGCCCCGATCAGTAGAAAAAGAGAGGCTTGCTTTACAAGCACGCCTAGTGCGTGAACGCATACTCCCAGGACTCGGCTGCGCGTCAGACAGGCTGGAAGGGCGAAACTTGCACAAAAATGTAAAGTATTTACTTTAACCGTTTTCAGACGGCTTTATTGTGATGCCCCCGCTACAGGGCATTGATACAGTTCTGCTCCGTTTGATTTATTTGTTAGGACACCAGAGTGGCAGAGGCGCATGTCACATTATTCAAAAGCTTACGTTGCACAAAAGGCTAATTTTCCGGGCTACCCAAACGAAGCAGCGCTTTGATGTCATCGTGACTTGTTGTCATGTCTTGACTTTAGGCACACGCACACTGTTGCGTTTTCCTATTTTTGTACTACGTAACTTCGAGGTTGAACCGCGTAGGCAAACCCTACACCCTATCAGCAACCAGAAACGTATCGCATTTTTCTCACAGCAAACTCACGGTGGCCAAGTAAAGTAACTATAAGCCATAACATCCACTTTTGATTGTTTCCCTGGTGAAATACACGACCGGCAACCGCACGAACAACGTCCTCCGCCCGCATCCCCCGCCACAACTTAGGGGATGGAAATGATGCATCAAGGCCAAGGATAGCCTTTACAGATGCCCTTAATGACAAGAATGACTCGCAGAGGCAAACTAAATACGTCATATGAAAGAAAGAATGAGTTAACGCCAAGACTTAGTGTAAGAATGGGTACTTTTTGCATCCCGGGCTGCCTTATTGAAAAAAAAATACAATTTGAAAACAGTTTGGATATAAACTGGCTAAACCCGAAACTAACTGGTTGTAGGGGAATTGTGCCGGGAAATTGTAAATCAAACTGTCGAAATTGGCTGAACTTGAGAAATGAACTAGACAAGCTGGCAGCTGAATTGGTTGAACTGTTAGTTGTGTAGTTCAAACTGGTAGCTAACCAGGCAAAACTGATAGCTTTAGCAGGCGACACTGGTGTCATAATGTGCAAGCTGTGATTCAAACAGTTTGAGCTGGCAGTCGAACTGCCAATGATTGACAACGAAGTTTCACTATTATCAGCAAAAATATCACAATAAAATGTTAAGCCACAATGTAAAAGATACATTATTATTACCTGTCCTGTAAATAAACGGTTATTATATTGTTCTTATTTTCCACTTGCGACATCATGGCAGACCGTCCTCTTTCCACAGCGCCATAACATCACTTCCTTCCGTCCTAGAAGCAATACGCTCTTTCATTCCCGATATTTGTTAGGGCGAGAAGTGATCCATGTATCCAGCAACCTCCCCTTTTCGTAAAAACTCTCCCGTCGACTTGAAATTTCTCGAATCCACGGACATGCTTTTTGCAGGATAGTCTGATTTTGCAAGTTCCAGAATGTGCGAAGCATGAAGTACGCCTCACTTGTGAGCCGCCCGTGCGAGCTCTTTATGAGCACCAATGAATCGAAAGGGTGATTTCGTTTTCTGAGCATGCCCAAAGGGCTGTCTATACCGGACACTTCTCCGCTGTATAAAGTATGGCAAGCCGCTTCCGTCCAAATTTTGTTTTCTTTTTGGCGAGTAAGTTTTTTTTTTTTTTTTTAACGTCCGCTTGTGTCCTTTTGCCGAGGCCTAGAGCATGCTCGCCACGTGGGTTTGGACAACCGCTCATACGCTTTGTTGGCTGTCAAACAACCCGTCAAGCCCACCGCTGCTGCTCAAGCCTCGAAAACGGGAAAGGGAAGGATACAAGGGCGCTGCAGAACAGACGGACAGGCAACAGGTAGGCCATTGGCAGGTGGCGTGTGACGTCAAGTATGACGAGCACCGAGGTCACAGAAAAGCAGTGGAGTCGAGGAGGAAAGTCGTGATGTTTACATGGGGGCATGTCCAAACAGATGATGGGGCCCTGTACTTTAACTTTCATATCATATGGCGGAAAAGTATCGCTTCGCGTGTTCCGAAGTCGCGTCAGACAGGCTGGAAGGACGAATTCTGTCCTCGCACGAGCGGTAAAGTTACAGGCCTAACATTTAAACTATTTTAACTGTTTTCAGGCGGCAGTATTGTAAAGCCCTCGCGGCAGTTCTTATGCTGTATTCTTACGAGAGACATTGATCTCCGAAGAAAACCGAGTACGTCATTGAGCTGACAGAAAAGAAA